GTGAGAAACAGTCCGTGGCAGGGCCGTGGAGACAGCATCAGCCATCAGGGAAACAACACAGCAGCAGCAGCCTTCCCTTACCTTTTATGCCTTTTGGATGAAGCCACCCATACCCAGAATAGGGCTTCTGTCTTCAGTAAATCCATTCAGATATACCCAAAACTATGCTAACCTAATCAGCTTTTTAACTTAGTACTATACATTCTTAATCCCAGGGCAGGGTATCATGCACCCTAGAACCAGTCAGCTCTGAAGAGCCAGCCCTATGATACCATGAGAGTTGGAGGGGGGGCTTATCTAGATATAAATTATAACTTCTTTGCATTACAGTTCATTGCTTCAACGAATATGCTTTGGTTATTTTATTTAAAGTATCCACTAAGTTTTTCTGCAATCTTAGCTGAGGAAATATCTATCCAGATACTGAACAGTATATATATCTGGAATCCTCTCTTGGGGGTGAATAGTGTGCTTTCCGATGTCATTCAGTTTTTCTTGTATAAATACCCTGGTCTATGGAACTTTGTTATGGCAGCTGTAGGACACTAAAAGTGGGACTGAGGTGGGTAATGAAGGGTCAACTTGGAACTCCCTGCTGAATGGAGTCAGTGTGGTGCTGGGTGTGGAAGTCCCACATGAGGACTGTTGCCAACAGTATAAAAGGAGAACGGGAGGGTAAGATGGTGTGCTGTTGTTCTTCTTGGAGAAGCTTGTCACACCGCTTTTCTTGATATGAACTCACTTGTTAGCTTCAAAACAGCTCAGGTCCTCACTGAGGATGACTGATGTTCTCTTTGGGGGAGTTCTTACCTTAAATGTCACTTCCCGGCTTCAGTGAGACCCCTCAGCCTACTGGCACAGATCTTTCTTCCCACTGATGCAGACTTTCTACCTTCCACCACTGGCTCTTGGGGCTTTCAATCACAGACCCTTGATAGAGACTTGTGTGAAACATTAGCCCTGGGATGATGATGATGGCAGGGACAGACCTAGAAACCGGCCCTCATGGGACAGACTAGGCACATACACGAGCACACTGAGAAGAGGTGGAGGGACAGGAAGCCAGGGGAGGAAGGAGGACCTAAAGGCGGCTGCCTTAGCAGAGTCCTCAGTGTCTCTGGGGACGGGAAGTCCTGCTCGGCCCTGTGCCCCTCCACCCTGAGGACTTCGGAACACAGCAGGCCAGGTCCTCTGACCCTGTCCGCCATTCAGTGTGTCTGTTAGTGAAAGTGTGCAGAAAGCCTTCTCTTAGCCAGTACACAATCTGTACCCCCAAAATCAGAGAAGGAAGAAAAGACAGAAGGATTGCATGACAAAGGACTCAATCAGGGAGAGGACATGATTTCAAAATGGAAAAAACAGAAATTAGCATGGACCATGAGAAAAGGAGAAACTCCCCAAGGGCTTTCCTGGACCGAAGCTTGAAAGTACACGCTGAAGAATGTCTATCATGTGGCTGAGATCCAGACCCCAAAAGATAAAAGATGACCGAATCCGGCAAGGGAGCGGCAAGGTTTCTGACTCTGTGGTGTCAGGAACTGATCTGGAGGCAGCAGGGATCTGGAGACAGCACAGGATTCACTCCCAGGAGACACTCAGGCCCAGGTGCTCCTGCACAAGCCCAGGGCCTGTGCGCCTCGCGCCGAGCTCCTTGCCGCCCCTCTCCAGCACTGAGGAGGGGAGTGTGGCATGGGCCCTCAGTGCACTTGACCGCTGCTCTCTGCCCTTGTGTGGGCCAGCTCTGGGCATCCGCTCGAGGGGAGAGAGGGATGTGGGGAAGATGCCGCACTGCCCAGCATCAAGAGGCCTCTAGGACAGAACGGTGGGAAGGCTGAACCTGCGGCAGCTAAACCCACCTCCCATCAGGACTGCACTTAGCTCCCACCACATGCTCTGGCAGATGTCCCCGTGCCCCGGGCCCACACTGCACACCACACTGCTCACCAGCTCGACGCAGCACCCTACCTGCATACGGGGCCACCTCCCACATCATGCACTCAGATTTCCTGCTCCATAGACAAACACAGCAGAGCCTCAAACCTGAGGCCCGGGAAACCTCGGTCCCACTGAGAGGGGGAAAACCACTGCTCACTGCTAGATACGGATGTGATGTGTCTGAGTACCCAGGACTTCACGAAGGGCTTCACAACTACACACGTGGAGAAAGCGGTCGAACCTCCCTGGAGCCATGCTTTGCACCAGATTCCTAACTAGAACATGCCTAAGTTCTTGTTAAACTGGATTTTAACCTTTGCAAGTTTCAACAGTGGCATGGTCACTGGAATTCCAACAGAACATAAAGAACCTCTCAGAAGGTTAGTCGGTGAGCGAAGCCGGCAGTGCCAACCACGAAACCATAGCAAGACTGCAGGTGGAAGGGAGACTCACCCAAGTGAACTGTAACCCGGAGAAGGTCAGCTAAGCAGTGAGGTGGCACCATGGCAGGAAAACGCAGATGCAAAACAGCAAATGCGTGAAAGGGCAGAAGCCAGTTGCTAACAGATATCCTGGAAAAGTGTTCAGGGTTCTTTTGCTCGATTCAGAGGACAATCACGAACTGGCAAAGGGCCACAGTTCAGATGTCACCAGATGTCACTGGGTGGCACTGGATGCACACCCACCAGTGACACAGGCAGCTTCCGATCACTGCCACTGGCAGCAGCTGCGGGCTAGTTAGTCCCAAACAGACCAGACACCATGGATCCACTCTGCCAGGAACCGGCCTCTGCTGCTCAGCGTGGTGGTTGCCACTCTCTGGTGGCTGCTGTTTCTCTCCAGAACACCTTCCTGTCCATACTGGTGTGGACCAGAATCCCCAGATTTTGGTATGTTTGGGTCCCACGCTGCCCAAGAAACAAATCACCAGCATAATTACAAATGTGTCTGTCTTTTACCAGCATGCACTGTGGCACAGGCACATTGGTGCACAAGAGAAAAATGTGGGAAGACTGCCGCTTGACCCGGAAGACAAGGGGCTTGGGCCAAGGGTTAGGAGGTGATTGGTTCAGGCCTCCAGGACAGTCTCACTGGAGCCCACGATCCAGGGAGGGCAAGGAGCTGAAACCAGGGAACCTCCTGGAAGGCCAGCTTGGGGTTTGGGGGTGTGAACAGTGGGCCTAGAGCTCCCATCCCTGGTCTTAGCCATGCCGCCATGGTACCCCTGCTCCTCCCTCTAAGAGGCAGCAGCAGGCTCGCAAGTGGCAGGACAGGGTAGGGTACTGTGCTGCCCCTGCCCCTGCACACTTCTTGGAGGGGGGCCAAGTGCGACAGAGTGGAGAGGGCTGGAGTGGCGGGGTGGACACAGCCCTTAGAGATCCAGGCTGAACATCCAGGTACGCTGGCCCCGGCCAGTGCAGGTGAAGGGAAGCCTGGGCTAGCAAAGAGGAGGGGGAGACAACAGCTGTCCAAGACACCCCATTTCCTGCCAGCATTGCAAAAATGCACGCCTCCTGCCTGCCTGTCTCAATGCTTCTCTTCAAATAATCAGGGAGGGGAGCAAAGGAAAAGGCAAAGCATTTCAACAAAGATGATAGGAGAGACAAATAGGTGATATCCCTAAGTAAAGAGGGTCCTGAGGGTGTTCAAAGACACAAAAGAAAGGTGTTCTCCTGACATGGGACAAGAGACAGCTTCCCCATAGGTCACACTTTTGAGAAAATCCACACAAAGATGAATACTGAATAATCCCGATTCTCATTCTTCCAGGAACACTTGTGAGGGTTCTCTGCTCATCCTATCCCTACAGAAAGCTCCTGTTCCTGTCGAGTGGCCACACGCGCGTCCCCAACCCTGACGATAGCCAATACCCACTGCAGCCAGGCAAAGAGGAAACAACTCTGACCAAACCGGGTTGTACCAACCAATATGGCGTTCAAGTGCAGACGAAAAGCTCCAACCTGAGAGGACTCAGCACACAGAGCACATCTGCATCCTGACGGAGGATACGTGGATGAGAACCAGCTGGCCAGGGATGGAAGGGACAGACCGGCGACTGATAGGTCTCACCCACTGATATGAAACAATGATTACCAGACCCCAGGAGGAAACAAACCATTGAGGAAAGTGACATCCACAGGAGCTTTCCTGTCCAGGCCTGGAGAGCGACATCCAGCCAACCACATGATCCATGAAAATAAGGAACAGGAAAGAGCTAAGCCTCGGTCACGGCCCGTGCCGCACAACCCATGGTTACAGAATGAACTATGTGTCCTATGGAACTCAGTGGACAAAACAGTAGGGCGAGGGGAGCCAGAGATGAAAAAAGGCACCCAAATGTGCTACTCCTCCCAGCACCAGGGAGTGTCTCCTGTGTGAAAGGGACAAGTGTGGATCCCTGGAAACTGTTAACTGCCTCCCCTACTAGCCTAGCCGCAAGCCGAGCAGGATCTCCTTTTCCAACGACAAACAACAAGTATTTTTGTAACTCTCAGATCACCCTCCCCATTTTACACATGACTGAGATAGGTGAACACACCTTTAAACGTGACCCCCGCTGAGGCCACAGGTCTCTGCGGGCAAGACCAAAGCATCAAATGGCTTCCAAAGGCCTTAACTACAGGCCAGAGTATGCCAGGGATATGGCCAAGCATGAACACCAGCAACAGCCAGAACAGGAAGCTTTGGAAGGTCTAGCCCCAGCCACAAAGCAGCAGGAAATGAGCCCCCACTTGTGGAACAGTATTAACCCCAAGGGAACAGCTGACAGGACACACAGCATGCTTGGAGACGGCGTCACTGAGCCTCCCAAATTCCAGAGCCAGAAGCAAAGAAGGGACGTGGAGAGTGGAGAGGATTGCTGCTGCCTTCTCTGTCCTCTTCCAGGGGAGCATTCAGAGACCCGCCCTCCCATGGCAACCAAGGAGACTGAATGTCCAGGCCTTGCCCATCACACCCTTGCCTATGACCTCATCCCTTCGGGTGGTCAAGGTGACCTGCTAGGGGCCCACACGGGGAGCCTGAGCAGAACCTCTGCCCTCTGTGGCTGTCTACTTGAGGGTGACTTGGCCACAGCAGAAGCCCCAGACCTGGCTGCCCTGAGTGGATCCCCAGTATCTGCTCCTCACAGATGAGAGTCCCCGTGCAGGGACATGAGGATGGCAGACAGGCACCGATCCCTCAGGGCCCCACTTCTGCTGCTGGGGCTGTGGGCATTGCTGGGTCCAGTCCAGGCCTTCCCCGACCACCCCTCATGGCGCTATGTTTCTGCCGAGGTGGTGATACCCAGGAGGCACACACACTCTGGCAAAGGCCTTCAGGTGGCTGGCCGGCTCTCCTACAGCCTGCGCTTCGGGGGCCAGAGGCACATCATCCATCTACAGAGAAACACACGGTTTCAGCCCAAAAACCTGCCAGTGATAACCCAGAATGACCAAGGCGCCTTGCAGATGGAGCACCCCTACATCCCTCTGGACTGCAGCTACATCGGCTACGTGGAGGAAGTTCCTTACTCCATGGCCAACATTGACACGTGCTATGGAGGCCTGGAAGGGATCATGAAGCTGGATGACCTGACCTATGAAATCAAGCCCCTCCAGGATTCCCTCATTTTCGAGCACATAGTGTCTCAGATAGTGGCGGATGTCAATGAAACACAGCCTCGACGTCGACCTGCAGACAAGAGGCCCTCACCATTGGATGGGGCTAAGGGCGCCCCGGAAACCCGGATCCCTAGTAAGGTGTATGTATACCATCCTGTCATACTAAAAGGCTTTATTCAAAGTCCCAATGAAGTATACCTGAAATTTGGCAGCAACAGAACAAATACTATCAAATTCATGCTGAGATTTGGGGGTGCAGTTAAGGCAATTGTTGAAAATATATCTATTATATTCATTGTAAATGGATTGAGCATATATGATACGGGCGATCCACTCCAGATTAATGACTTCAGAGTGCCAGACGGTACTGTGTTTCAGCACTACCAACGTACATTCTATCTGAGCATGAGACCCAATATAGCCTTCTTAATACTTCTACAGGGACCTTATGAATTAGACGTTGCTCCACCGTATTACGGAGTATGCAATGACAAACACTTGATCTTTCTTGGTCTAAGGGGGAGACATTACTTCTTGGGAGCTGTCATAGGAGCACACCAGCTTGGGAGAGCTTTTGGGTTATTTTATGATGAGGCCTTTTGCCAGTGCCAGAGAAGGGCCACGTGTGTGATGTTCAAGCATCCTGTGCTAACAGATGCATTCAGCAATTGTTCCTATGTGCACCTGGCACACATCATCGGAGGACTAACACTCTGGTGTCTATATTTCACAAGTTTTACATACTATAATGAAACTGAGACAAAGTTTTTCTGTGGGAACAGAATAGTGGATGAAGGGGAACTGTGCGATTGTGGAACCTTCAAGCAGTGCTATACCAACCCGTGTTGTCAAACTACCTGTATGTTTACTGCCGGGAGCATTTGCGACGGGCAAGACTGCTGCACAAACTGCACCTACTCACCTTCAGGGACGCTCTGCAGACCCATCAGGAATATATGCGACCTGCCAGAGTACTGCACAGGAAGCCAATTGACCTGTCCAGAAAACCTATATATGCAAGATGGGACCCCATGCACTGAAGAAGGCTACTGTTATCAGGGAAACTGTTCTGACCTCACCATACATTGCAGAGAGATCTTTGGGGAAAAAGCTATGAAGGGTGAGTTAGACTGCTATCAGATAAATTTAAAAGGCAACAGATTTGGACACTGTCGCAGGAGGGCTTCACAGAAAAGTCACATAGCTTGTGCGACAACTGACGTTGGATGTGGAAGGCTGCAGTGCAGCAACGTCACCCACCTTCCCCGGTTGCAGGAGCATGTTTCTTTCCATCAGTCTAAGTTTGGAAACTCTTGGTGTTTCGGGGTGGATGAACACCGTGAGACACAAACTCTTGATGTTGGCTTTGTGCGAGACGGTGCGCTCTGTGCTCCTGGAAAATACTGCTTAAACACTTACTGCAGTGGCTCTGTGCCATCAATTTCTTATGACTGTGAACCCCAGAAGTGCAATTTTAGGGGAATTTGCAACAACAAAAAGGAGTGTCATTGCCATATAGGTTGGGATCCCCCACTGTGCAAAACAAAAGGTGCGGGTGGGAGTGAGAGCAGTGGGCCACCTCCACATTTAATGCGGACTGTCTCCCAGAGCATCGAGCCAGTGCGTCTTCTGAGAATTATATTTGGTCGCATTTATGCATTCATAGCAGTGCTGCTTTTGGGGGTGGCCACAAATGTGCGCAGTATCAAGACTATCACTGTTCCGGAAGGGCCAGCTCCTGAGGCTCCTCCACCAACTTAGAGAAAGTCAGCCCTCCAGTCCCTCAGCATCACAGCCACCATCGGAGGAATCAGAGGGCAAAGCTTCAAGTCCTTGACCGCCACACGGGTCCCCAGGGAGCCTTGGGGCCTCTGTGGGAATACAGGGGACATGGGCTCTGCAGACAACAGATATTCCTTCATTGGCTGCAGATGCTCACTGTGTAATAAACCCAAAATAAATGCTTCCACCTCTCAAACTGCTGGTCTTGGGTGTTTTGTAACAGCCAAGGGAAGCTGGGGAGTCCAGATGAGAGCTGAGCCCTGAGAACACGGGAGGAGCCTGGGCATCCTGTGGGAATCCTGGCAGTAGGGAGGGGTTCTCCACCTCCAGAAGCCACAAACTGAGATGGTGCTTCAGGAGAATGCTGCTGCTGGAGAGGACGGGACAGGCAGCCAAGAAGACTCAGAAGGACACCAGGAGACAGGAGCAGCCAGGCTCCTGCAGACTCTCTCCTGAAAGCGGTAGATGCAGCACCTGCCCTTTCCGGGAGGAAGGGGCCATGTGGCACCAGTTCACTCCTGGCTGCCAGGGAATGCAGAACATTCTCCAGGCTGGTGTCAAGGCTAGGGGGTGGCCCATCCACCAGAGACCAAGCCAAGGTCAGTTCCTTCCAAGCAGAAGGTGGCCATGTGGAAGGACAAACACTTGTGGCACAGCCCTCCAGCAGGAATGCAGCCCTTGTGAGGGATGCTCACTGTGACGTCACCACAATGATGTCAACTGAGCTTCTCCCAGAGCCCCAGAGTCCTGGGGTTACGCAGGCAGTTGGGAATTCATGAAAAGCTTTCGGAACTTTCCCCCAAAGCCCATGCTGTGTTTCCCAAACACAGCACATATTTTTATCTTAACTCTTACTCTCTTGCTCTCTGTACTCTGCCCAAGCTTGCTCCACACAGCCAGTTTGTCTCCCACTCTTCACTTTCTCAAATAAACTTTGCCACTGCACACATGGAAGATTAAAACAACGAGAAAGAAATTAATGGTGAAGCATCCTCTAGACAGCCCCTCTACTGCCTGCCTGAAGACAGGAGGCTCCGGGACACAGCTGCTGCCGCGGTGAGCACACAGAGATGTGTGCTGAAGGAAGCCTTCAGACCCACAGACCCATTGGCTGATCACACCTAGCGCTGCCCTCTCTCCGAGGAGGGGCGGTATGCATGCCAGCACAAACTGAGTCTGGTGCTGCTACCCGCAGGACACCAGTGGGGCGGGGGGCCTCATGCTCTGACCCCTGGCTGTTGCGCCCCAGAGCTCATGGGCAGGAAATCAGAGCCAACCAGCCTGAGTCCTTGCTCACACGAAAGAGCCTGCCAAGGCTGTGTCCCTGAGTTCTGGGAGCTCTACGAGATGTCACGATTCCATGTACCTTTGTTTCAGGGATGTGCTAGGAGCCCCTTGAGGTCCTGTGAGACCAGTGAAAAATTACTGAAAGCCTAAAGTTGCCGGGCAGTGAAGTGGATGTGTGAGCACCTGCCAGCCTCACTCTTTGCTCCAGGCCCAGTGGTGAGGAGGGGCCTCGGCTCAGGGAAGCGGCCTTCTGTGGCCCTGGGCCTGGGGTATCTACTTGATGGTCTGCCCTTGAGAAGGCTTGGCCAGACAGTGCCCTGTGGGTGGGGCCTGGCTTCCCAGAGCAGTGGGAAGGGGAGGATGTGGGATAGCCAAATGCCTGGGGCCACCTATGGGTGACCTGCCTGCAGAGGAAAGGTTACAGTGGTGGCCCAGGTCAGAAGCTGCCCTCCTCCCTGCTGCTGCTTCTCCCCCTTAGGCAGTCTGCGGGGCTTGTCCCCCAGGCTTTCCTGCTCAGCCCTCACAAGCTTGTTCTCAGTGCTCCCTAGGGCCCAACAGGGTCCCCAAGAGTGATGACTTGCATTGTGTTGTGTTATCCATGATGAAGCCATCCAACACACAGGGAGACCTGGCTGCTGTGTGCCCCGCTCTAGACCAGGTGTCATTCCACGGAGTACCCTGTCACAATTGTGCACTCTACGGTGACTGCAGGGTTAAGTGTCCTCAAAGTGTATGTGCGTATTGGTAAAGGCACTGCCACCCAGAACATATTCCAGATGTCCCAGGGAGTGTGGCTCTAGAAGATGTCTTCTCCTTGTTGCTCAAGTCAATGACAGGGATGTCGGTGTTGTGAACAGCAACCTGACAGGACAGCCTGAGTCTAGACCCAGGTCCCCTAAGTATCTCCATGGAGACACTGAGGACTAGGGTTCTTCTTGGTCCCCCTTTCTGCCTCCATGTTCACCATGAAGGAGCCCCACTTTGGAGCTATCAATCCTCTGTATCGAGGTACCCAGAAAAACAATTAATATACAATAGCTTACACAAGGCAGGCTTCCAGGAACAGAAGTGGAAGAGTCCTCGTGGCCTTTTGTTTTATCAGATGTGGCAAAATCCAGAATAGTTGTATGCACACTGGACAGCTGTCAGATCCAAACAGATGAAGAGCTGGAAGCTTGCTGTAGGGCCCCTGGCACCCATTTGTGTTGGAAAGCTGAGGGTCCTCCATTGGAAGGCTGAAATTTGCACCAGAAGGCCGAAGAATCTAGATATCAACCTCTGAAGCCAGTGGTGAAAACCTAAGCTGTTCTGAAAAAGAAAGTCTCTTCTGTTTCCCTTTTTACTCTTTCCAGGTTATAAATCTACTGATGCCATTCCCATCCAGGTTACATCTTCCTTCCTCAGATGGTGGCCTATAGGCCAATTTTCCACAGACATATCCAAATTTTATCAATCCCTGGATGGCTGTTGTTCACATCAAGTAAAATGTAGCATAATTAACAATCATAATCCATCCCCTGTCACCTTGGCAACCAGACAGAACCCCTTGAACAACACCTAACCTTCCAGTACAATTATTCTTAACACAATGCAAGTATCCTGGGTACAAATGGAAATATACTCTCACTTTCACCAGAATAGAAAGTTCTTCTTTGGTTGATGCCTACTCTTCTAATACTCCATAAGTTAAGCATTATAATACAGATTTAACAATACTGAAGAACTGATATTAAGTCAAGCAATGTTTTGTTACAAAAAGAAGAGAGATATCTGCTTAATATATGCATATCTATGCACATACATATTAAAAAAATTAGAAATACACAAGATAACTACAATCATCAGTCATTGGAAGGCTTGCATCCTGCATTCAACCAGCATGGGTGGGAGACCCTGCCAGATCCATCTCTGTTTGCCAGCCGCCACCATCGCAAGGCTTGCTTCCTGTGGGTGGCCAGCATGAGCAGGGAGAACCAGCCAGATCCACCTCTGTTTGCTGCCCACTGCTATCGCAAGGCTTGCTTCCAGTGGGCAACCATTGTGAGGAGGGAGACACAGCAAGACAAGCTCCATGCATCACAGGCCACCACTGGAGATCCTTGCTTTCTCTGAGCAACCAGTGGCCACCAGGAGAATCAGAGAAACACACCCTTGTATGCCTGCCAGTATTGGGGGAGTCTCAATATAGACACACAGGCTAAGAGAAGAAGCACCTCCATCACCACACACTCCTGGCCATCAGGGCAGCCCTAGTGTAGCTGCACAGGTCTAGAGACGCCCACCCATGCCCTGCTACCTCACTATAAACTTGGAGTTAGAGAAACCCAGGTATGTGTCCCAATCCCTTGCATTGAGAAGGGGCAGCCAAAGTGGGTAGTGCCTGGGACCCCACAACCAGCTTATTGGGAGGAACCCAGGAGAATGCTAAGACAAAGGAGCAAAAGGCAATCTCAGACCTCCAGCTCACACAAAACAAGTCTAGGAGAAATAGTCATGGAAAAAATGTAAGCCACACACCTGAAATCTCTAAGAGGATAACAACTGAAGTAAAGAAACAATTTCATGAGACTGTAAAAGTAATCAGATTAGAAATAATGTCTCAGGTAAAAGAAGAATGCTGAAATGCTGAAAATGAAAGAATTGCTGAACATATCTAAAGAAGACATAGATTTAAAAAAGAGGAGCATAGGAAAATGATGGAAATCTTGGATAAGCAATATAGGAAGGAATTACAATGCATGAAACAGACTCAAAGAGAAATGCAAATAATTAAAAAGCCGATTGAAAGCTGGCAAAACTGCTTGAAAGAGAATGTAGATAGACTCTGAGATCTTGAAGACAGAATCACAGCTAGTGATCATGAAAGGAAAGATCTCTTAAAAATAACAAGGAACCAAGAAATAACAATTCAATGGCTATACAATGCAAAGAAAAATAATTTAAGAGTGACAGATATTGGCAAACAAGCAAGGATCAACATGAATGACATAAAAAGATTATTTACAGAAGTAATAGCAGAAAACTTCCCAAAATTGGGAAAAGGATCTGGTACATAGATAAGCGAGGCATACAGAATTCCAATTAGTCATAACCAAAGCAAATTTTACACAGACATACAATAATCAAGATCCCAGAAATTCAACACAATAACAGAACATTAAAAGCTGTTAGAGAAAAGAAACAGATCTCCTATAAAAGAAAACCAATCAGAATCATAGCAGACTTATCAACACAAGCCATCAACTCAAGAAGAATTTGGAGTGAAGTGTTTCAAATCCTGAAAGAAAACAACTTTCAACCCAGATGGATGTACTCTGCAAAACTATCCTTCAAAATTAATGGAAAAATAAGATACTTCCATGATAAATAACAATGGAAAGAATTCATGACCACTAAGCCAACCTTACAGACAGCACTGAAGGATGTTCTAGACAGAGATAAAGAGATGACCATGGTTCCAGGAGCAGCATCAGAGGAGGATCACCAAAAAGGATGGGCAATTGAATGAAGTGGAAAAGTAGAGGATCAGCAGCAGGATAGCATCATACAGATGAACCAATGCATGCTGGCTGTAACCATTGACGGAGATGGTCTCAATTCTCCAATAAAAAGAAACACAGGCAGAGTGGATCAAGAAACAAGATCCAGACTTCCGGGAGAACATGGCGGACAGACAACAGCAACTACCGGAGGCTCTCTGAAAGGCTCGGCTCAAAGGCCAGGAAT